GAATCATTTCAAAATTGAAATTTAACAAATACTCTTTACAATAGCATAAACACTTATAAAAATACTCAGGTGCCAGCTTTTCAAAATACAAGTGTGAGACCTGAACATGAAGAAATAAATTTTAAAATAAGTAAATGAGGACATATACTTTGTTAATAAATTGGAAAACTCCCAGTGTTAATAAGCTGTCAATTCTTCCTGAATTGATCTATACATTAAATGTAATTCTTATCAAAATCCCAGCAGATTTTCTGGTGGAAATTGAGAAGCTAATTTTAAAATGTGTAGGAAAATGCAAAGAACATACAATGGCCAAAACGATTTGAAAAATAACAAATTTGTTCTTTTTGGTAACTCCTATTATTTGATTTAAAGGCTTACCATAAGCTACAATAAGCAAAAGGTGGTGATATTAGTGTGAGGACAGATATATTGATCAAGGAAGCAGAACAGAGCCCAGAAATAGATCCATTTACAAAGGGTAAATTTATTTTTGACAAAGATGCCAAATAATTCAATACATAAAAAATAGTGTTTCCTTCAAGTGATACTGAAACATTAGGGCATTTATATGCAAAATCATCATTCTCAAACCATCTCCTACCATATACAGCAACTAACTTGACATGTGTCATACACCCAACTGCAAGAATCAAAACTGGAAGACTTCTAATACAAAAAATAAAAGGAAGTTTTTTTTTTTTTTTTTTCCTTTGGACTAGGTAAAGCTTTCTTAGGTAGGGCAAAAGCAAAATGAAATGAAACAAGACTAACCTTTGAAATAATGAATGAATTGGACCTTACCAAAATTGAAAGCTTCTGGTATACAAAAAGATATTTTTAAGAAAAAGATAAGCCACATGTGGGCAGAAAATTTGTCCAAAATACGTATCTGACAAATGACCTGTACCAGGATATACAGGGAACTCTTACAACTGAAGAATACAAACAACCCAATTAAAAGTAGAAAAAGTATTTGAACAGGCACTTCACAAAAGAAGGTACAGAAATGGCAAATAAGCACATAGAATAGGTCATGAAGAAAATCATCATTGCTAGTCATGAAGGAAATGCAAATTAAACCCAGAGGGAGATAATATTACACCCCCACTAAAATGGCTTAAAAGGACTGACAACATTAAGTGCTGTAGACCATATGAAGTAATGGCATCTCTAATTTTTGCTGGTGGGAATGCAAATACAGTATAGTTCCTTTTGAAAGCAATTTGGCAGGTACTCATAACATTATTCATACACATGGCATAAGACCTAGAAATTCCACTCCTGGGTATTTTCCCAAGAAGGGAGAAACATATGTTCACACAAAACCCTGTATATTTAACCAGATTTATTTATAACAGTCCCAAACTGGAAAGTACCAGCATGTCCATCAATCAGGAAATGGATGTTGTACATCTAGGCAGTGCAATACCACTCAGCAATAAAGTGAGACAAGCTATGGATAAATGCAGCACCTTGGACAAATCTCCTAAGCTATGCTAAATTATAGAAGCCAGACACAAAGGAAGCATATTGCATGGTTCTGTGTATAGGAGATTCTAGAAAAGTCAAAACGATAGGGAGAGAAAACAGAGCAGTTGTTCTCAGGGAGGTAGGTAGAGGGAAAGATTTGACTTCAAAGGGGCATGAGGGAAATTTGGGATGATGGAGATGGTCTCTGAAACTTCCCTGGGGTGATAGTTACACAACTGCAAACCATTGTATAATCCATCCAACTGTGTATGTTTAAACATGACCCCCTGTCCCCCACAATTTGACACTCAGCAAAGACTAAGTCTACAAAACAAAAATTAAAAGACTAGTATTTATTTCAGAGAAACACATCACAACTTGTTGTAAAACTGTAATTTCGGGATGGGCTGGTATGATGCATTGGTGCAGAACACGGCTATAAAAGTCAGGCAGAGCTTAGTTCAAGTTCTGTTTTTACCATTTACTATAGAGTGACCTTCAGTTAATTATCCTGTACTTCATTCAGACATCACAGGATTATGGTGAGGATTTAATGGCACACTTTAACCACTTCATCATTGCCTGTCTCATAGTGAGTATTAAAAAAAAACTTTAGTTACTTGAAGAACATTTAGAAACAACCTAGGTGGGGAGACATATATATATATAAACAAATAAATTACATCATGTGAAAATAACAGAAATAGAGCAAGTGCAAGGTACAGCTAGAGCAATGAATGAGAAATGCTTCACTCTGAAGAAACAAAGAGACTTTTTGGGGGAAATCATGACTAAGTTAAAATCTGAAAGATGAAGAAGTGGTCTTCAGGCTGATTAGGGGAAGGAAGGACACAAAATGTCATGGTGTACTTGAAGAATGCTGAGCAGTTTGCTATATTTTTGAACAATGAGAGAAGCTATTTTAGTAGAAAGCAGTCAGTCAGAAGAAGAGAGACCTTGAGTGTCAATTTAAGAATATTGTTGCATTTCATCATTTATGTGTTAGAGCTATTGGAGACAGCAAGGACACAGACAAATTAAATTTGCATCTTAGAAAGATTACTTTGATTGTCTTGGAGAAGATGAATTGAAGATAGGATGAGTCTAGAGTATGGGAGACCTGCCAGAAGGCTTGTTAGATGAATTCAGGGAAAGGACAGTGACTTTCTGTACTTGGGCTATGGGAATGGAAAAGTGAGAATAAATTCAAGAAACTTTTAGGGGAATCCAATAACTAACTGCATGAGGAGAGTTAGTCTAGGATGCCTGTAAGACTTGGTGGTCTGTTTAGGTAGACCACCTGCTGGTACCCCTAGATAAATGGAAAAACATGTCTATACTGGGAAAATAATGAGTTTAGGTGGGTAGTGTTGATGACTGAAGTGCCTGTGGGTATCCAGGTGGAACTGTGCAGCAAGTAGAAGGATATATGGGTCTAGAGTTTGTATCAGAGTCTGAGGGAGAGCTGTGTATGTGTAACAGCTGAAGTCACAAATATAAATAAGATCACCTAGAAAAAGCATGTTGTGTGAAAAGACAGCAAGGGACAGATGCCTGGCAAATTTCAACATTTAAGGTTCTGCAAAAAAAATCGTAACAGGGCATATGTTCCTATAATCCCAGCTATTCAGGAGACCGAGTCAGGAGGATTCCTTGAGGCCAGAAGTTTAAGACAAGGCTGGGCAATATAGAGAGACCCTGTTTTATAGAAAAGATTTCAAAGTATGGCCATAAAAGAAAGTAGGAGGAGGATGGAGGATCAAGAGAAAGCAGTATCAAGGAAACCAAGAAAAGAGTTTCAAGTATGAGGTGCCGTTGAGTGTTACATGCAGCAGCAACGTCAAGCAAGATGAGGACTAAGAAGCATCCAATGGATATGGATAGTTTTAGTGCTGGGATGAAAACAGGTCACTATAGTCTGAACAGCAAATGGGAAGTTAAAATTGTTTAAGTATCTAATGCTGGCGACATTTTTTTAACGAGAACAATAGAATAATGGTTACAAGGAACAACAAGATCAAAGGGATTTTAGTTGTTTTTGATTTTTAGATGAGGCATGGGAGAGACTTCACCCTAATTAAATATTGACAGGAAAAAACATGGAAGAGAGGGAGAGGCTCAAGATACAGGTGTGTATTATTCAAGGTCCACTCATATAGCACTTGATGATGCTTTATTCTTGAAACTCTTTCTTTGGTTTTCTTGATACAGTTTGGTCTTAATCCTTTTCTTACTTCCATGACCACTACTTAACATCTTTTCTATATAGAAATCACACCAGATATTAAACCATGGAAAACTGAATAGAAATCGTCATTTTTATAAAGCTGTTTATCAGGCAATCTAAAAGGTGAGGAGAGAACATATGATATATAAAAGTAGCAATTATAAGAAGCATCTATCATTTCTTAGGACTGGGAGGCCAGTAGGACATGGAATTTGCAAAGTCTAAGAGGAGAAGGAGAGACTGTTTGCTAAAGGCAATCAAAAATATTTCATGAAGTTGGCATTTGAGCTAGGCTTAATTAAGTGGAAATGAAAGAATATTCCAGGTGTGGTACATGACCTGGGAAATAGAAGGTACTTTGTAAATATTTGTTGAAAAACGAAATGATGAATAGATGAGCAAAAAATCTAGAGAAAAGTGTGCAAACTGTGGGGAACAGTAAGTTCCGCTGGCGCTTGGGTGGTGGCGAGTGGTTGAAAATGAGGTTGCACAGATGGAACAGAGATAGAGCAGACAGTCTTAAATACCAGGCCAGTGTGTTGAAAGTTTATCTTAGGAAGCCACCGACATTTGAGTAGGGAAGTGACGAGACTGGAACAATGATTTCTGGAAGGCTGATTTGCCTGTGATATGTAAAAAGAACTGGAAAGAGTGAGGAACTGAAGTCATCAGCCAGAAGGCCAAAAAATGACGAGCTGGATTGAAGTGACAGTACGAATATAAGAAAGGGAACAGGCAGGAAACAAAATGTAAGCCGCCAAGAGGTGGCTGAAGTGATGACTCTGGTTAGAGGGCATGGGAGGAAGAAGGGAAATTGAAGCTCCCTCGGGGTCTAGGCGATTGAAGAATGGCCAGAAGAGGAAGACGACGGGGCTTTGAAGGGTCATGAGAAGTTCCGTGCGAACGGATTGGACATCCTAGTGCAGGGAAATCTGGCAGTGCAGGTCTGCAGCTTAGCGGCGTCTGAGCACGAAGTGATGAACGTGGGTTTCATCTGCAGAGACTCTGGCTGACGCCCGTACTTAGAAGAATGCAATAGTATTTGCATATTTAAACCCACAGCCAGCCCTCGGGCCAGAAACTCAGGCTGAACTGCCTCCTGATTTACAGCTTCCACCCCGTTTCCACTCTCTCCGAAAGCACTGGACTCAGGTAGTCGAGGACGCACTGGGCTCCTCCGACAGTGGCCGCTGCCCCCGTGGGACAATAGGCGCCCCTGCAGCCCCGAAGGCTCCCAGGGCCCAGGTGCGCAGGCGCAGCGCGGCGTCGCCTAGCAACCAAGCACAACAAGGGACTGGAGGTTCGTGCCCGTGATGTCTGCGGTGTCTGCTGAGCTTGCCTAGCAGCTGCTTGGCGGGATCTCCTGGCAGGTAAAGGTAACCCCGCGGGATGAGGAGGTCCAGGGCAGAGGCCTGAGGAAAACCTGGGAAAGGAGAAGGTGCCACGGGGGCGCAGACTGCTAGGGTCAGTGAGTGAGGCAGCAACCTTACTGGACGTTGTGGGTTTCTGTCCCGCGCCCGCAGAGTTAGACGGGGATTGGGGTGGGTTTCCTAAGCATCCCACTACCTCCCATTGAACAGGTGACAAAACTGAGACCCCCCAGGAGGGGGTCTGAGGTGAGATCAAGTTGGATTCCGTTACTTGATCGTGAGCAACTCAAGAAGTGGCCCCGATTTCTCGAGCCCTCCTCCTCTTTAAATCTTTTCAAAGCAGAACTTATTAGAAAATGTTTAAAATCATAGGCTGGACATTCATGAAGAAGAAACACAAAGGACCAATCAACTCGTGAAAAAAATAGGGCTCTCATAGACAAGAAGATACATTTTTAGAGTAGACTAATTTGCATATCCAATGCCCTGAAGTTTTCACCCAGTTGATTTTCTGCTAGAAATTTATCCTAAAGAAATAGTTGGAGACATGGATGAAAATTTTATGTCCAAAGATGTTCTCTGCAGCCTTGTCCATATTTCCAGAAAATTATAAACAAATTTCAACAATAAGAGACTGGCTAGATAGATACTGGATTTTAAAATATTTGAAATGGCATGTTATGCTGATCCACTGGAGATGATTGAAGCAATAAAGGGAAAGTGAGACTTCATGAATTTATTTGTTAATCCCAGCACTTTGGGAGGCCGAGGCGGGCGGATCACGAGATCAGGAAACCGAGACCATCCTGGCCAACAGGGTGAAACCTCATTTCCACTTAAAAATAAAAAAAAATTTAGCTGGGTGTGGTGACACATGCCTGTAGTCCCAGCTACTAGGGAGGCTGAGGCAGGAGAATTGCCTGAGCCCAGGAGGCGGAGGTTGCGGTGAGCCGAGATCACGGCATTGCACTCCAGCCTGGGCAACAAGAGCGAAACTCCGTCTCAAAAAAAAAAAAAAAAGAAAGAAAGAAAGAAAGAAAGAAAGAAAGAAAGAAAGAAAAGGTTTAGTAGAAATATGAACCCAGGAAGGGAAGGTGAGAGTAGGGGACAGAAATTCAGGCAGGATGTTAAAAGCACTTTAGAAAACATGCAATGTCGGAGTGGTACTGGGAGTTTGGGAGGCACTTTGGTAGGCCGAGGCAGGTGGAGTCAGGAGTTGAAGATAAACCTGGCCAACGTGGGGAAATCCGTCTCTCCTGAAAATACAAAAGTTAGCTGGGCGTGGCGGTGGATGCCTATAATGGCAGTTGCTCAGGAGGATGAGGCAGGAGAATCACTTAAACTGGGGAGGCAGAGCTTGCAGTGAGCCAAGATCAGGCCACTGTCCAGCCTGGACAACAAAGTGAGACTGTCAAAGAAAAAAAAAAAAAAGAAAGAAAAAGAAAACAAAAGAAAAGAAAAGAAAGAAAGAAAACACATAAAAAAGGAACTACATAGAAATAGTATTGATCTCTCTAAGCTTATCTTTGGATGATTTTTATTTTATGCATTGTGCTCTTTGTTTTCTCTGCAATGAAATGCACTACCCTTACAAGGATCATCTCCGTTGCTCATTGCCACTGGCCTATGTCAGCTGTTCAGTCCCTCCTCCATTAACTATTATACCTAATATGCGATAAAACACATAGGCTTTCTCTTTTTTGGAGACAGAGTCTCTCTCTGTCACCCAGGATGGAGTTCAATGTTGCAGTCTTGGCTCACTGCAACCTCCATCTCCCAGGTTCAATTGATTCTCCTATCTCAGCCTCCCCAGTAGCTGTGACTACAGGCCTACACTGCCACTCCCAGCTAATTTTTTGTATTTTTAGTATAGATGGGGTTTCACCATATTGTCCATGCTGGTCTCGAACTCCTGACTTCAAGTGATCCACCTGACTCAGTCTCCCTAAGTGCTGGGATTATAGGAGTGAGCCACCGTGCCCAGTCATGATAAAACACATACACTTTTAACTTCCTTCTTTATTTAGCTTAGGAGATGCTCTATCATTGCAATACTGTCTGTGCGGGTCTTCTAACATCTGCACTATGCAATTGCTTAAAAACACTACCCTGAAGTGGGAAAAATTAGTTCCTAGGTGAAAATCAGATGATTTAAAACAACTTTATGCAGGTCTAATTTAATTTCTTCCTGAATATTATTCATAAGGAATTCTTTTACAAATCAAAGTCTGCTCGGTCTTGGAATTGGTTATAGAGTACTATAAACTCAATCTTTTTTCCTGAGATTAATTGTAGGATAGATTCTCATTTGCCCAGAATAGTTTCTGCGTGTCTGCCTGAAATATTATAGGCAAAAGGTCTAGGGCCTGTTCACTTTTCAAGTACCTAAGGAAGAAGTTTGAGATTTGAAAAAAAAAAAAAGCTTATATTGGCACTAAAATATGAAAAGAAAAGTGAAAAATTAATGTTAATTAAATGTCTTATTAATATAAATTTTTATTACATTTGAAAACAATTTTCTCATTTTACAAGAATTTCCAGGTGTATGTACTGATTGCTACGAATTTCAAAAGGTTTTATGATGCAAATGACATTTAATAGGTGATGCAGGAGCATTTTAACATTTTAATATATTGGCTACAGTGTCAGTAAGCTTGCCTAGGCTCTCAAAAATCTTAAAAGTAATGTGGTCTGAAGTTAGAGACCCGGAATAGATGGCTTTCAGAATTATCTAGGAGTTTCTATGAAGATGTGGCTTTTTAATGTATTTGATGAATGCTGGTCAGTATCTCTAATGCTAGGAGTTGCTTTTGACCCTTGACATGCAGTCTAAGCTAACGCTGACATTGTAGATTCTCCCCAAAGATTTTCTATGTCCTAGGATTTCTATTGAGACAATGGTAATTTCCCTAAGGCTGCAATGTACAGTTTAAGATTGCTCTGATGCCGAACATAATTCCACAAACCTCACTGGAGGAAACTAGATAGATTTCTTGGGTTATTCTAATTGACATTAACATCTTGAAAAATTCTTTGACCCCTTGCTGGGTTACTCCTCTGTGGTATGTTAACTATGTATAAATACCATTCCTTTCACTTTTTCCACACAGACATAGACATATGAGGACGAGTGGAAAGGAAGTCACCTCAGTTTCCCCAGAATGCATCTCTTTGGATTCTTAATTGCTTTTTTATTGAGCTGTGGCTTATATGAGAGAAAAACCTTTTGTTATCCAGGGAAAGGACACAAATGTTGATTCAGATCTGGCAGATTTTGTATATCATTTACGAGATCATTACTCCTAGGAAAAATGGAGTCAATGAGTTTCATAAATATCAGATGCCAATTATGTATCACACACTGTTGTGTTTGGGAGAGATCAGTACAAGAAAATAGACAAAAATGTCTGTCTTTGTGGTACAAATATTCTTGCAGGTCCCAGATGAACTTGAATTTAGTCTCTTAAGCCCATCATAAGCAAGCCATAAAAATGGTAAATGATTTCTTGTTGTGTAAGTAAAAGTTATGCTACTAATATATTCACCTCCTTTCCAAACTGAAGGCCAGAACTAACACTCAACAATCTTATCAATAAGTTTCTTTAAAATTGCTGAGTTTGAAATTGGGGTGTAGGTGACATATTTTTACATGTGTGATAATTTCTACATGTCTTGCATTGTGTTTTAGCAGGTAAAAATTTAAAGGAGGAAATAAACCTCCTCCCAAGGGCACAGGTAATTGAAAGATAATGTGCAAATGTCACTTTAATCATATATTACATACTTTTCCAGGATGGGTAAAAAGATAAAGAAGGAAGTAGAGCCTCCTCCTAAGGATGTGGTAAGTTTCTGATTTGAATACTAGTGGCACTTTAACAACTAGTTATAAAAATAAATTGTTCACACAGTTTGGCATGTACCAGTATATACATGAATACACAGTGGCAGAAGTCCAAAGGCTGACTAATGATAAGATTAGTCAGAGAAATCTAACATTATATAAACAAACATTTACAACATTGTCATTATATAATTAGCACAATTAGAGAGTAATTATTAGCTTTTCCAGTATGTAGATGGCATGTTTACAGCCTAGTTAATGAATAAAGAGTTTGGGTTAAAAAAAAAAAATACTTTGCATTTACAGTTGCCAGCCTCTCATTTATGTTAATTAATCAAGTGAATTTTCAAAAATAACTGGAAGTTCTGCTGTAGCTAGTAGATATGTGTATAAAGTTGTCTGGTGATGACCATTGTGCATCAGAAGTCCTGTCGGTTTCAGTTCTATCGAGAGACTACTCTGGGATCATCATCTTTATTCCAAATGCTAAGTAATTCATTGCCCATACAGAAAGCTCTCCTCTCTCTTTAAAAACATGATTTTATCTTCTCTCTTTAAAGCTTATCAATTATTGAGAGATTGTATTAAAAATAAAAAAAATGATCTGTGACAATTTTTAGTTTAGAAACTCATTTTGAAACAGACATTTGATGTAAATTCCTTCAGATAAAATAGGAATAGGAAAAAAAAAATGGCGGAGTCCACAGACTCACAGCAATTTCAAGTTTGAAGGAAACTGGCTAATGACAGAAATCTGCCCCCAGCCTTGGAAGCTTCCTGATTAAGACCCTGGGGTCCTTGAGCCAGCTCTGCCCCTCTCCAAATGTGATATTGTGGCCAATTTGCCAAATTTGGCCAAGTTATTTCAGTTTTCCTTTAGCTCCTAAATGGGAATTGTAATATCCAACTCGTTGCTGTTGTTGTATGAATTAAAACAAAATAAGTTACGTAAAGGTCTTAGTGCCTGACACGTAGCACTTGGAAAATAAGATCTATTATCATGAAAATCCTCTGTACTCTGCCTCTGACAGACACACACACACACACACCACCACCACCACCACCACCCCGCCGGCTCCTTCCTGTGGAACAAAATCTATAGATGTGCCTGTCTACCCGGGTCTAGGAAGGCTTTGCAGAGGTGGACCTCTGATGTTTCATCAGATGATGTTTCATCATTCTGGCTACTTCTTTTAGGACATATTCCTAAAATGTTACAGATTCTCTAGTTTTCTTCATTGCATGTAAGACTTGTATTACCCTCCCTTTTGCTACCAAATAGCATTATTGGCATCTTATTTGCAAAAACATATTCTGATTTAAATTAGAATTAAGGGGCTTATAAACAATAGATGTTTGTGTCCAATACACTTTCTGTAACTTCATAATGTCTTGCTGATATTGTCCTCTGGACTCCAATCCTTGGAGATACAATGGAGAACTTGAGAAACACAGTCCTAGCATTAACAAAATAGAACTCTTGCTCCCTCAGCTCACAACAGCCTTGGAGGTAGCCAACGGTGTGTGTAACATTGACCAAAGGTCCTCACTTTTCCTTGCCTTTCCCAGGGGACTTCCATCCTTCTACTCTGACTATAAAACTGACAGAGGGGTATTAAAATAATATCTAAGCCCTTTTCTACAGTAAATGTTCTCATACTTCAAAGCAGTATGCCACAATTTACAACATCTTAACCTGGAACTTGTTCTGGAGTATACTTCTAAAGTCAGTAAAAGTTTGTTCTACACATTGTAAATGAAAACCAGATTTAAAGAGAAATATAGCTACTTAAAAGAAATTTTTCTCTGTCAACTAAGGTTAATTTGCTTCTTACATGTTTCCTAGAAAGGTTGGTTGTAAAGACTTTAATTTTTATCATCTCTTCTCTACAGGTTAAAATAAGTAACAAAAACAGCAATAAAAGTATTGGTAATAGGATTAGAACAAAAGCTCCCTTTAAGATTCCCGTTTGTTGTAACATTAACATATGCAGATATGGTATTGATTTATATTTCCTTCTTATAAGAGACACTAGCTAAGAGATGCCTACATATGGAAAAGATATGGCTTGATCAACCAATACAACTATTTTCTTCCTTTCCAAATCAGTTTCCCAAATCATTTCCATGTTTAGCCAAAAGGTTGTTTGTGATGCTTTAATAAAAGGAAAACTTACTTATATGTGGTCAGATCTTTGAGTTTGCAAGCATGGAAATTATATTCTTTTAATATTTCAGAGGTGATTGAGCTTCAGTGAATAAAGGCACAAGATCTAAACTCCCAAGAGACTATGACCTGGTCCTGGCATGGTAACAATTAAATATCAAGTTAACTGAACATTTATGTTAATGGGTCAGGACTTTCTTTCCTTAGTTAAATACCCACGGGAAGCTAAGCAGGGAATATTGAATCACAACAATGGAAAATAGTAGAACACGCCCCTTAGCTGTACAACCAAATCTAATTCCTGGGAAGACAGTGAGGTCTTCTGGGGCTTGTTTTCCTGAACCTCCTTTATCTTAGAACTCAACTTTTCATTCTCTGTCATAAACTGGCAACACTACTATGGACTTTTAAAAATGAATAAATGGCCTATGACTGCTATATTGGACAGCACAGAATCAGAACATTTTTATCACTGAAGTTCCATTGGACAGCACTATTCTAGACAGTATTATTCCTTAACAGAGACATAAAAATATCTCTAGAAGCATATGGCCACTCAAATTGACTGGGCTTAAAATTCAAAGCTTAGCCAAAATGCTTCCATTTTCTTTCATTCTTTTTGTAAATAATTTTATCATTTATTTTGCACAGAGCATGAAATTATAATTTATCAATAAGCTTGTTGGTGACTGTGACTTCCTCACGGAAAAGTAGATGAGATATGTAATGACAGCACAGTATTATTTATTTAATCATGTGGCACTCTGGTATAGCTATCAATTTCAGTGCGCTTTTTAATTAAAAATTACTCTAATGGTGCAGGCTCTATAGGAGAAACAAATGTCGCACAAAGTTTCTCTACTCTCTACCAAACACCAGTATTTCTCCTCCTTTGAGAGCCCATTGGACTGTAATGCTTACAGTCTCAAGCTTCCCTTTAAGCTTCTCATATCCCATATCTCCTTTTCTTTTTCTTTTCTTTTTTTTTTTTTTTTTGAAATAGGATCTTTCTCTGTCTCTCATGCTGGAGTGTGGTGGCACAATCATGGCTCACTGCAGCCTCCACTTCCTGGGTTCAAGTGATCCTCCCTACTCAGCCTCTTGAATAGCTGGGACTAAAGGCACACACCCGTATATCTGGCTAATTTTTGGATTTTCTGTAGAGACAGGGTCTCACTATGTCACCACTCTAGGCTCTAGAGATCTTCCCACTCAGACCTCCCAAAGTGCTGGGATTACAAGCATGACCCACTGCACCTGGCCTTTAAAATTTATTTTAATTACTATAGATTCACATTTAAATAACCACGTGACTTAAATATTTACTAAAGCTTATGTTTAAATGTATTTTTGTGTACTCTACCTACTCCTCTGAGACTTATTATTCTGTGGCAATTATAACATACCCATGCTTAACCATAGTATCTTTATTCACACGTTTACATAATCAGCTTTAAAAATATAGAAACATGAGAGGTCTCTGGGGTGAAAGTTCCACCACGACAGAAGGGAAATCTGTTTTGGATGGGGGCTGGTGGAGAAGATGGCCAGCTGGGACATGAGGGAAAGTGCCTTATGTAGTGAAGATGATGTAAGGCTGTGTGGTTCTTAGGAGTTTGCGGGGCAACCAAGGAGCTTTATGAAGGCAGGTTGGGAACTGCAGAGCCTCTCCCCACTGAAATGTACTCCAATGTACTTTTGCATATAATTTCAGGTACACAATGTACTCTGAAGCCTACTGCTAGCTCATGGACCTCAGATTTAGAGAACTTTCTCCTGATATCAGCTAACAGTACACAGTTAAGGCACTTTAAGGCCACAAGCATACAAAAAAATTTCCAGGAGAACTTTAATACGTACATTCCTTTACAGACATTTTCCAAGTACTTCCATCATCCAGGTATTGTTCACAGGTGATGGAGACAGAAAAACAGCATGGTCCTTTGCCTAAAGAAGTGTATTTATTTGCTGGACAAATACAGAGTGCATACCATACGCAAGCATTCTTCTACATCTTGGGCGTAAAGATGGGGAAAAAGCAAAGTTCAGGCCCCAAGGCAGCTTATGTTACAGTGGGAAAAACAGTCAACTAATAATAATACATTTCAGGTAGTGAGATGATCAATGAATAAAAATAAAGTAGGATACATAAGGAGTGTGATGGGGCCTCTTTAAATAGAATCTAGGTCAGGGCAGGCTTTCTTGGTGGGATCTTAATCTAAACACACTTAATGAAATGAGGGGGTATTCTGTGCAAATATCTGGGAGAGGACCCCAGCCAGACCACAGTAACTAAAGCCTTGTGCAGTGTGTTTGAGGAATTCCAGGAAGGTGGGTATGGCAGGAGATTAGTGAGCAAGGTGTAGGAGGGGGTCACAAAGATGGCGAGATGGTGGCGACCACGTAGGGCATCAGGCTATGTTAATTAAGCAAGCGGGAGTTTTTCCTAATGTGCAAAAAGGAGAATTCGTTGGAAGGTTACAGAGAGGAGTAGTGATAATCTGATTTGTATTTAAAATGAAAAATAAGATCATTCTCCCACAATGGTGGGAGAAATGTGAAAATTGGAAGACCAGTTTGCAGGTTGTTACGGTAATGCAGTTAACATCTAATGGCAGCTGGGACCCAAGAGGTAGGTCACTGTGAAGAAGATGAGATGTGGCCAACCTGAGGATGTGCCTTGAAGGCTGAGCTAGCCGGATGTGCTGATGGGTAGGATGTGGAGCGTGAGAAAGGAACAAGTTGAGAGATCAAGCCTGGGCAACAGAGTGAACAGAAGTACAACATACTGAAGTATACAGGTAAATCAAAGACGTAATGCAGTGTGTTAAGT